AGAGTACTAACCTTGGAGTCTGAAAGACCTGGGTTGAAATTCTGCCTTAGACAATTTAATCCAATTCAATTCAAAAAGCTTAGAAGTATATACCTACTCTGAACCAAGCACTGTACTAGGCCCTTCGGGATAAAAGACAAAAATGAAAAAGTCCATGCCCAAAGGGAATAAATGTTCTGTTGTAACTAATTTACACTTAGTAATTATATAATCCAGGGCATGTCACCTTAATATCTCTGAGCCTCAGTTTCTTCCATCTATAAAATAAAGATAATAATAACACCTTACAAGCTAATTGTGAAGCTCAAATAAGATAGGGAATGTAAAGCAATCTATAAATTTCAAAGCACAATATAAAAGTCAGTTATTACTACCACCTGTATTTTGGTCTCTTTTCCCTAAAGGGTAGCACCAGGAAACCACAGGATGGGGCTGATGCAGTGCCACGTGCCAGGCACTATGCTAAGCACCTTACAAATATTATCTCTTTGGATCCACAGCTGAAACGCTAATGCATCAGATCCCCAAAAAGGTCTATAGCAACAGTTGCTGCAACAGAAGCCAGAGGCCATCAAGAGCTGCTGCCTTTTAAGGTGGGTTAGCTCTGATTGGCCTGCTCAGCCTTCTCAATTTAAAGAGCCTTCACTGATCTACATCTAAGTTCCAACCAAGTCAATGGCCTCTGGCTGTCGCCTTCTCTTGGCTATCAGGGATCATCCATGAACGGTAGAGTGGTTGTTCCTAAGTCTCAGATTCTCTCTTATCACTGTTATCATTCTCCAAGGACTGGGCAAGGAGCCTGGTCAGAAGAGCCCTGGTTTCGAAGCTCTATCCTCATCTAGTTCTGAGCTGCTCTGGATACCTGAGTGGCAGCTCTCCCCAGATTTGATGTAAAAAGGAGGGGGCTGGGCCAGATGATCTCTAAGGAGCCTTCCAGCTCTAACACTCTGTGAGTCTCCAATGGTGGCAAGAAAGGACAGCTTCTCCTTCACACAGGTGCATGTAAATTAGCCTAATTAGATTGTCCAAGGGTTTAGAAATCACAGTAAGGGGCCAGAGATGGAGAGAAAGCTGTTCTCAAATCATTCCCTGGTCCCATTTTCCCAAAACGTAAACAGTTCTGCACCAGGCTTCTCCTACCATTCTCTCTGTCTCACACTCCTGGGAATACATACCTGGCCTTGGGAGCCCAATGTCATTCCAGGAGTATCCTATCATGCTTCCCAATTCCACAGCTTTCATGCCTCTGATCCCTTTGGGATTGAACTCAATGGTATTCAATGGCATCTCTTGACTTGCTCTATGGGTTTGACTCCTCACCCTCTGTGTCCTTTTACCACTTAGGAAATTAATGGGACCTACAGGGTCATAGCCTTGCCCAAGTTCACATAAAACTGAAGCATGCTATTAAATATCCTAGCAATCGTTTCCTCTAATACCTTCTGCCATATTATCCCAAGAAAGCAAGAATGGACTTCCAAGGTCATGGTCATATTGACTCAGAATACAACACATGGGGAACCCTAAGAGAAGAAAGAAAAGCTGCTTACAATCTGTTTGACTTTGGGCAAGTAACTTCCCTTCTCTGGAACTCAGTTTCCTCTTCAATAAAATGAGAAGGTTGGACAAGATAGCCTCTCTCGTTCCCTTTAGTTCTCAGGGTGCAATCCTCTGGTTCTAGGAACTGATGATCCTACATATTCATCTCTATTCAGGGACTGAGTGATGCCAGAGGCCTGAATAAAGGTGACAGCTGGTGGCTAGGGTAACCCAGAAGAGCCCACAACCTGAGAGCTGAACTACAGGCCTCCCAGGCACCTTCACCTGAAGACTGACCCCAAAGTATTTTCAAGAGAAGTGCTCCAGTTTGGTCTCAAACCAACAAAGTCAGAAAGAATGTGTGGGCCAGGATGGTTTACCCACTCAGCCATCCAATTTAACTTAATACTTATCAGCAGGATGAAAAATAAAGCTTAGATGACACATGGTGCCTGCCCTCATGGAGCTTATGGTCAATTCAGAAGATACTAGCATGCCCCTCCCCCATGTTCCACTCAAGATTCAGCTATTCCAGTCATCTTACCAACTCTTCTCCCCTTCTCCCAGATTTCAGATTCTGAAATCTACTTGTCAGTGATATTTGTTGCAAGTAAGCACTGTTCTCCTAACCAAAGTTCCTACCCACTTCACAGAAACATTGCTTACAGCCTCCAATTCAATGAAGTGTTGACTTTTTGGTCCAGACTTGTGATTTCACTGGCATAGGAAACTCCCAGTGAACTCCCTTTACTAATTCAGATTGGCGCCAGCTCTGCAACATACAGGGTCATAACCTTAGACAGGTGCCTAGTGCACTGAGTTCAATGACTTGCCCACTTTTGGTCACAAGGATAGCATTCAACTGACCCAGAACTTGAACCCAAGCCTTCTTCACTCTGAAGTCAACTCTCTATCAGCTACACCACACTACCTCTCCTTCAATGAAATAAACATATATTAAGTACCACTGGACACTGAGCACATAACTAGACACATATGAGAGACACAAAGTTTGGGAAAAGAGAGGCCCTACCCTCATGGAGCTCACAGTCTAGCAGAGGGTTATGACACAGACAAAAGTATTTATATAACAAAATAATACCTCATTAAGCATATCTGGGCAATGGAAGCAAAGTAGGGGCGCTGAAGAGTGAATAAGATCATTTCTAACTTGGGGGATTAAAGAGGGAGATTCATGGAGGAGATGAGCTACAGGATTCTAAGGGGGCTTGATAAGAGTGAGGAGATCAGGAAATCCCCTCAGACTGCCCCTCCAGGCCCCCACAGAAAGGCCAGGGCTTAGAGTTCTCAAGAGATTTTCAGTTAGTAGTGAGTAAGAAATTCTTGGAGAGAAGAAAATGTGGACTAAGGAATCAGGTGAGTAGATAAAAAGTTTCCCAGAGTTTCAATGGCCCCAGAGCAAAGGGAAATTGGTTGCCTTTCCCAACCCACTTCCACCTGAGTCCAAAGCCATGATAATCAGAGATAGAGGCAGATAAAACATTAGAAATTACCTTGTGTGTTTTCTTGGTTTTACAGATGAGGAAAAGTGAAACCTAAAGAAGAGAGGACTTACCCAAAAGCACACAGTTAGCTTATGGCAAAACCTGGATTAGAACCCAGGTCTTTTGCCCTCTTACTCCCCACCCTCTCAATTCTACTGCTACTTCCTTAACTTGGTACCAGAGTGCCACCAAGGGTTCCCTGCCCACAGAAGATACTAAGTACTTCTACTTGTCTTGAAATCCTATCTCACTAGAGCAGTATGTTATAGAGATGCTAGACCCCCTGGGAAGCCCAGCCTGGAAGCCTCAGGATATGGGAAATAAGGAGAGCCAGCCAAAGAAAGAAAAGCTACGTCTTTATTCCTGGGTTAACTCTGCCCCTATCAACCATTACAGGAATACTAGTAGATGAGGTTGCACACCTTCCCACAAAAGAAATTTCACAAACCAGGCTCTCTGCTGGTTTCAACCTGTAGGCCCTGAAAACAGAACTGCTTTGAGAGGAGAGCCGCTGGCATTCTAAGGCCTGCACACCCTCCTACAGCTTCTGTCTCCTCTTCCTAGCAGGTGTTCGGCAGGAAAACTTCTCCTTAAGCCGGCCTCCAGGCACTCGGTAGAACCTCACCCAAAAGCTACAGGCACTCTGTCCAAAATCCTCCCCTCCCTGATCTCCAGGACTTCCCAGAGGAAGCATAGGAATGAGAGACAAGGGAATCAGGACCTTGTAAGGAGTAAATTGAGCAAAAGACCAAACCTCATGGAAGGGCTTTACACTCACACACATATCACATCCCTCCCTACTGGTCTCAGTGGAGGGGGCTAAAGAGTACAGGCTTAAGGATTCATAGCCTCAGGGCATGGGGGAGGGGGCGTTCAGAACCCTGAAGTTTCTTCCCCCCCCCCCCCCCGCCCCGGCTACCACTCACACCCAGTTGGTTTGTACACCCCCTCCCCCACCCCAGCCCGAAGCCGCTTCCTCCCCCGCCCTCCCCCCCCAGGAGAATGGGCGGGCCTTCTTTGGGCATCTCCACCCAAACCCCTGCCGGCTTCTGGAGATGCAGAAGGCAGCAAAGCGGTGTGCCAGCACATGGCCGGGACAGCCTGGCGGGCGGAGTGCCGCCCCTAAACCTCAACCCCTAGTCCCACCCCGACTCGACTGGGGCAATCTCCTCTCCGCAAAGGCGCTGAGCGCTGGGGAAGCCCAGCCGCAGCCCTCGCCCCAGGAGCTTCCCGACCGCACCGCCATAGCAGCTATGGGCAGGGAAGCTGGGCAGGCCGGGGCTGTCGCGGGGGGTCGGCCGCTTGCCACTGAACAACCCCCTCTCCCAACCCCCCTCCAGTTCCAGCCCTCGGTCCTCCCCTTTGCAAAATGCGTCACGTCTGCATGCTGCTCGGGAGGCACCTGCACCCGCCCCCGCCGCCCCCACGCCCCTACGCCCCTAATAAGCCCCGGGCGCCCAGAGTGGAGCTGCCAGGGCTGGAGAGGGAGAGAGACAGCGGGGGAGGGGCAGTGAAGGAACAGGGGACCAAGAAGACTGTGGCCATGCTACCGCCACTGTCACCGCAGCAGCCGTACCCAAGGAGCCACGCTGTCAGCCTGGCCCTGGGACGCCAGGGAGCTCGCAAAGAACTGGGAGGTGCACGGGGCCCGCAATGCGCCCCCCGCCCCTGGCCCCAAGCCTCGGCACATAGATACCCTCTGCCCCCTGTGCCCCCCACACACACCCCACAGCGACACATGCAAGCACGCACAGACACAGATGAAGACAGACCCTGGGCGCTTCCTTGTGGGGGAACAGAGGGGACGGGGGGGGGCACTGAAGGCATGGGCTTCCTTCTCCCGCAGGGCTGGCGCAGCCCCCCACACCCCGACTCGCGGACATGGCCGTAGCCCTGCCTTCTCCCCTCGACTGCCCCTGCAGCCCTCCCCCAGAGCGGCGCCGCCTGGATTCTTACTTGCCAATATCTTCATAGAGCTGGTACTCGTCGGTAAAGCGGGTGCAGGTCACGGTTGTAGCCATAGCTGCGGCCGCGGAGAAGGCTCTGAGAGCTGCCGCTTCCCGTGCTGCGCGCTCTGGGCTCAGGCTCTCGGCGGCGGTGGCGGCGCAGGGCTCTGGGGGAGGCGCGGTGTAGCCGTCAAGCTGTTCAGGCTCGAGCTCGGACTCGGACTCAGGTTCGGTCTCGGTCTCCGACTTAGCCCCGCAGCGGCGGCGGCGGCGGCAGAAGCAGCAGCAGCAGCAGCGCGGGCAGAGAGTGACACCTCCGCTCCAGGCGGGGGGCCGGAGGCTGGGGGGCTGGCTCTGGGCAGCGCAACGCGAGATCTGCTCGCTGCGTGTGTGCCACACACCTACACGCGGGAGGAGGCGCGGGGCTCTGCCGCACACGCCGTGGACCGGCCCCTCCCTCTCCCCTGCGCGGCACCCCCCCACACACACAGACACCACGCACGCGGGGACCCGCACACAGCACAGCGTGGACCCACCCCACTCCTCCTCCCTGCGGAACACACACGCGGGGAAATGCTCCCAGCGTGGACCCACCCCTCCCTCTGCCCTGCCGGCAGGACCCTCCCCCCCACCCACAGTCACCCTCGAGGAGGCCAGCACCCCTGTGGATCCACAGTCCCACTGCACACTCGTGGGTGGACCCTCACCCCCCCCACCCCTTCCCCACACTGCACAGCACCCTTCACACTCACGCCCAAAAACTGAACGCTAAGTTAACCACTCCGACCCCTTCTCCCTTTCAGGACACCCACGCCTGCATACAGGGGTAGGTGGCCCTCCAACTCCTCAAGGCCTGGCACACCTAGGAACCCTTCCTCTAAGGATGAGGCAGGAGATTTGGTTTTGAATATAGGGTATAAATGCTGGGTGGAGTAGGGAAGAGCCCCTGGGGAGGGGCAGCAGCAGGGTTGTGAGGAGGTGAGGAAGCTACCCCCCTATTTAACTCATCCCCTCAGGCAAACATGAACCCCAAGGCAAAAGGTAGAGTCCTTCCACCAACTGGATCCCTGAGACCATAGCTCCTGATTTAGCCACCCTCTCAATCCCACCCACTCCTATCCACCCCCACTCACCCCCTACAAATGGTAGTTCTGAGCAAACGCAGCTCTGAAGCGAGATGGAGGGGGCAGGAGGTTAAGCTAGTAAGAAGCAGACAGTCTCTACCTCCCTACCAACCACCCTCAGGCACCACTGGTTTGGCTCTAACCTTACGATTATCCTTGCCCTAGAGTGGGGACATTTCCTCCCCTTCCACCAGGGCCCTTTGCCCACCCACCTGCCCACTCTTCAACGCCTGGAAGAGGATCTATCTCCCCAACTGGGAGGGAGGCCCTGGACCCAGATTGCAGGCATCAGTCCCTCACAGCAAGGTGCCAGAGCTGTTGCTATGGGCAGCAACAGGGAGGAGATAAGGATCCTGAGGAGGGGGAGGGAAGGAGTAGAAGAAAAACTGACCCGGTTTCACAAACAAGAAGCCATTACTTCAGGGTCAGGTGCTGGATCCCTGATTCCCCAAGCTTCATATCTAGAAATTATGAGTAAGGAAGTGTCTGGCTGCACCTACCAGGATGATACATACTCTCAGTTCACAGGAGCAGAGTATCAAAGATTTAGAGCCAGAAGGGTCCCCAGGGGCCATCTGGTCCAATCCCTCATTTTGCATAGGAGGAAACTGAGGACCACAGAGGTTAAGGTTACCCTGGTAGTGTCAAAGGAAGAATCTGAACTCAGATACTCTGACTACATAACCATTGCTTATTCCCTGGTGCCTGACAGCAGTCCTTTAGGATCTTCATTTTAATTAGGGCAGAATAGGGGAGCTAGTAGCTCAGGGTTAGACAGTGTTGAACCCTCACTAGTGAAGGAGCCAAAAGAGAGAAGGATTACTGAAAATCATCTCAGTGCAGCATAAGGAATGCTGGGTTTGAAGTCACAGGGCCTGAGTTTGGATCTTGGTTTTCTTATTTAATACTTGTGTATACTTGAGAAAGTCTTCACTTTTCAGACTCAGTTTCCTTATCTGCAAAATAAATGATGGGGTTTAGGGTAAATGATCTCTGAAGTCCCTTTCAGCCCTAAATCTATGATCCTATGGCCAACATAGCCTGGTTTCATCGGCAACTACTAATCTGTTCCTAAATCTAAACCCCATTCAGAGTTATTCCTCTGAAGGGCCTTCCTGCCTTGCTCCCACAAAACAGGACCTCCTCACATCATAATGACAGAAAGCAAAAGAGACAAAACCTGGGCATCCATCTCCTGGAATCTCCCCACATCTCCTCTTCAACTGCTGACCTGGTCAGGGCTCCAGGACAAGGCACCACCTTCCAGATCCCAGTGCTTGGTCCTCCCCAGACAGAGCCCTCTTACCTCCCTGCTTCCAGGGGCTCCAGTGTCAATCTGTCCCAGGACAAGACCTCCTCTACCTCACCCCTAACCCCCCGGGGCCTTCTCCAACTCAGGCAAAACAGTAGGCTACCTTCCTCCTCCAGTTCTTGCCTGATGGAACAGCCCCCTGGAGCTTCGCAGAAGGCTATCACTACCTGCCATGAAATTGAATTTGAGAGGCAGCTAGGTGTTGTGGATGGAGCACTGGCCCTGGAGTCAGGAGGAGCTGAGTTCAAATCTGACCTCAAACACATAACACTCACTAGCTGTGTGACTCTGGGCAAGTCACTTAGCCCCAATTGCCTCACTCAAAAAAGAAAGGAAGGAAGGAAGAAAGAAAGAAAGAAAGAAAGAAAGAAAGAAAGAAAGAAAGAAAGAAAGAAAGAGAAAGAAATTGGATTTGGCCCTGGGCAAATCACTTGACCTTTGAACTGTAAAATGGGAATAATAAAAACACCTACCTCAAAGGGTTGCTGTGAGGATCAAATAAGTAATATTTGTAAAGTGGTTAGTACAGTGCCTGACACCATAGTAGGCACTGTACACATGCTAGTTATTGTTATTATCATCATCATCATTATTATTATTATTAACAAAGAATGACTGGATCCTTCTTTGTTGCCTAAAAATACACCCATGTTTCTCCCATGCTTAAAAAACCCTCCTACCGTACCCAACAGTTGTTGTCCTGTATCTCTTCTCTGCTAAACTCTTTGAGAAAGCTATCTACATTCTCTCTTCTCTCACTCTCCTCTCCAGTCCAGCTTTTGACCTCATCATTCAATGAAAACTTCACTGGACAAAGTTACCAGTGACCTCTTAACTGCCAAATCCAATGGCCTTCTGTCAGTCTTCATCTTCCCTGAACTCTCTGCAGGCTTTGACGCTGTTGATCATGTGCTCACTTCTCTGTCCTTCCATGGCTCTGTTCTCTCAGTTCTCTTCCTTCCTAAGCAATCAGTTTCCTTTGCATATTTCTCCTCCATGTCATGTCCACCAACCATGGGTGTCCCCCAAGGCTCTGTCCTGAAACCTCTTCTCTTTTCTCTCCATACTGCCCAACTTGGTGATCTCATGGACTCCCATGGATTCCATTATCATCTCTATGCAGATGATTCCTAGAACTACAGAGCTGATGTCATGTATTATCAACTAGTGCATTTTTAACATCTAGAACCAGATGTCCCAGAGGGAACTCAAATTCAACATGTTCAAAACAAAAGTTATTCTCGTTCCCCCAAACCACCCCCCTCTCCCTCTCTGAGCTTCCCCATTGCTGTCAACTATACTCACCATCCTTCTAGTCACCAAGATTCACCACCTTGGTATCATCCTTGACTCCGACACTCTCACTCAATTTACATCTCCAATCCATCACCACATAGTGTTGCTTTGACCTCCTCACTATATATATCACATATAACTCCTCTCCTTTCCACTCACGCAATCACCACCATAGTTCAATCTCTCACCACCTCTCCCCCAGACTTTGCAATAACCTTCTAGCTGACATCCCTGCCTCAAGGCTCTTATCATTCCATAATCTTAATCCCTTCTCTCTGAAACTATCCCCAATTTATCCCATATATAGGTTGTTTGTCTGGGCAGCTAGGTGGCACAGTGGATAAAAAGTATGGCCTGTAGTCAGGAAGACCTGAGTTCAAATCCAGCCTCAAACACTTACTAGCTGTGCGACCCTGGGTAGGTCACTTAACCCTGTTAGCCTCACTTTCTTCATTTGTAGAATGAACTGGAGAAGGAAATGGCAAACTACTCCAGGATCTTTGCCAAGAAAACTCCAAATGGGCTCACGAAGAGTCAGACACGATTGAACAAGAACAACAACAAATAGCTTGTTTGTACACAGTTGTTTGCATGTTGTCTCCACCATTAGACTTGAGAGCAGGGACAGTTTTGTCTTTTTTTTTTCTTTGTATCCCCAGGGCTCAGAAGGGACTTAACAAATGCCAGTTGGCTGACTGGTTGAATTTTATTCCCCTCCACAAAGACTATGATCCAGTGATACTGGCCGACTTGTTTCTTGAACATGAAACTCTGTCTCCTATCTTGACATCTTTGTACTGGCTGTCCAACGTGCCTACAATGTTCTCCCTCTTCACCTCAGACTCCTGGCTTCTTTGGGCTCCTTCCTCCTTCTACAGGAGGCCTTTCCTGGTCCTCCAAGCTGCAATGCCTTCTCTTTAAGATGACTTTTTATTTTCACTATCTATACATTGTGTGTACTAGTTATTTACGTATTGTCTCCCCCATTAGAATGCATGCTCCTTGAGAGAATGGAGAGCACTGGACCAAGAGTTAGGAAGACCTGAGTTCAAATCCAGCCTCAGACACTCACTAGCTGTATGACCCTGGGCAAGTCACTTGACCGCCACTTATCTCAGTTTCCTTATCTGTAAAATGGGGGTGATAATACTACTGACTTTCCAGGATTATTGTGAAGATAAAATGAGATAGTATTTTGTAAATCACTTTTAAAACCTTAAAGGGCTACATAAATCCTAGCTATTTCTTTGTGTCCCTAGTGCCACTTCATAAATGTTTTTTGATTTGATTTGACCTCTAATGAGAGGCAGCGGTTTAGAAAAAGAGCCAGCCTTGGAGTCAGGAAGACCTTGGTTTGAATCATGCTACAATAAACTTTGCATCTCTCTTGATCTTCACAACAACCCCATAAGGTACATGCTAGTTGTTTTGTTTTGTTCTTTATTGGACTTGTGATTGCTTTGGTATAGGAAACTCCCAGTAAGGAGGGAGGAAGGAAGGAAAGAAGAAGGGAGGGAGAGAAGAAGGAGGAAGGAAGGAAGGAAGGAAGGAAGGAAGAAAGGAAGGAAGGAAGGAAGGAAGGAGGGAGGGAAGGAGGGAGGGAAGGAAGAAAACAAGCATTTATTAATGTTATATGTCAGGCACTGTGCTTTACAAATATTATCTCATTTGATTCTCACA